CTGAGCAATGGCCACTGGAGGTGTCCCTAAGGGGCAATGTAAGCACTGCCTTTTTGCATGAAAATGCCTGAAGGTAAGATTACACTCACCAGAGCAACTACATTAAGCTAAAGTTGTTCTGGAGGGGGGGGTGGTCCGCCCCGGGTGCCACTCACTAGGGAGGTTCCCGTGGCAGACTGTGTCGGGACCTGCGTCACTGACCGAGGACCCAACACCAGAAGGAGGCCCGGCAGCTTGCTCGATATGTCACTGGGTGCAATGCCCCTCCTGCGCCCATCATAAAGACCAGTCTGCAGCTCCACAATATGCAGAGCTGCAGACCATGTGTCTCACGAGATTTGATCAATCAGAGTGTTGTCGGATTACCACGGCAATGCTCTGACTGGGTCTCGCGAGATTCATGGTCTGCAGCTCTGTGGAACTGGAAACTGGATATTATGGCCACCGGACCACCAGGGAGCCCACGGGACCACCAGAAAATTAAGGTATTTAGTCCGTCTCCCCATCACCCCTCTCTCTCTCTCACATCACCCCCTCCCTCTCATCATCAACCCTCCCTCCCACCATCACCTCCTCTCTCACATCACCCCTCATCCCTCTCATCATAACCCCCGCTCTCCCTTTCACCATCAACCCCCTCTGCCTTTCCCTCTTACATCAACCCCTCTCACATCACCCCCCTCCCTCACACCATCACTCCCTTTCATCATCAACCCCCCCCTCTCTCATCATTACCCCCTCCCTCCCTCTCACCATCACCCCCCTCCCTCTCACCCCTGTAACGGATCACCTGGCACCTCAACTGGGTACCTCCGTTGAAGGATGCTCCTAGCGCTTCCTGAGGACTCCAAGCACTGCAGCAGACACCACAACCACCAAACCAGAGAAGCGTACGAATGCTCTCAAGCATATGAATGCTGTAAGCAGCTGAACAGGAAAAGCATACAATCAGCTTACACTCCTGGCAATCAACACACAATCCAATTCCCCCACTAACGAGACGACACTACGTTTTGAGGCCAAGCAGAACTGACTGTACTGGCACATACAGCCTCTTTTATTCATAATCCACAAACATAGTACTGCCCATAGGGTTTTGAAATACAACCAATCTGTACAATACACACAGACACTCCCACACAAAATCCTTCCCTCTGCCTGTGATATGATTACTGAACACAATAGTTAATATAATTATCACAGGCAGAGAAATAAAGTATTATAAAACATATCACAGGGAGCCCAAAACATGCAATAACCCCATAAAAAGTATATCCACATATCCAAAATTCACCCAGATCCATTCAGTAGTTTGGAAGATACAGTTTAATGCAAATTCCGCAGAACATATACAGGCTATATGAAAAATAATTACTGTATAATGTGTCCCATGTTGTATAGTTTAAAACTACTGCACAATGTCTTGGTGCACCAAATACCGGCAAGATGGCACTGTGTAGAAAAGTCCAAACAGTGTCTGTGAGTTAAAATGGCGGCCACCCATTGTTCTCACCATGTGCTTCATCCATTGTTCTCACCATGTGCCTCTGATACATGAAATGGTGGCCACCCACTAACTCCACAGTATGTCCCCAGATGGTTCTTAAAGGGGCAGCAGCACCACAACACAAATCCACTATGCCCAAATCTTGTATTTAAAGGACCTAACCAGGGACCATAATCACATGGCAAGAGGCTGGCAAGCAGTCCTCTCCAGGCACAAGTGGTGGGGCTGGTTCCACCACAACCCCCTCCCTCTCACCATCACCCCGCATCATCCCCCCTTCTTCTCATCATCACCCCCTCCCTATCACCATCACCCCCCTCACCCCCTCTCACATCCCCCTCTCCCTCACACCATCACCCCCCCTCTCCCTCACACCATCACCCTCTCCCTTTCCTCTCCACATCCCCCTCATCATCACCCCCTCTCATCATCACACCATCACCCCCTCTCCCTTTCCCTTCTCACTACACCATCACCCCCTCTCCCTCTCCTCCTCTCTACATCACCCTCTCCTCTCACCATCACCACCCATCTGCCTCCCACCCCACATCACCCCCTCTCACTCATCCTCCCTATCACCATCAACCCCCTCTCCCTATCCCCCTCCCCACATCACCCCTCCCTTTCACCATCAGCCCCTCTCCACATCACCCCCCCTCTCCCTCTCACATCACCCCTCTCATCACCCCTTCCTCACACCATCTCCCACTCATCATCACCCCCTCTCTTCATCACCCCTTCTCACCCTCCCTCTCACCATCACCCCCCTCCCTCTCACCATCACACCATCACCTCCCTCACCCTCCCTCCCTCTCACCATCACCCCCTCCTTCCTCACATAATCACCCGAATCCCTCACATCATCAACCCCCCATCTTCACATTATCACCCTCCCATCTTCACACCACCCTCCTCCCTCACATCATCACCCCCTTCCTCATACTACCACCACCCTCTCCATCACAGTATTACTCCCCCCTCCCACTCACCATTATCCACTATACAAGCACACACACTGCATTCACTGTACAAACACACTAGATACACTATACAAACACACACTTATACATGTGTGTCTGTGTATCTGTATGTGTCAGTGTTTGTATCATTGTGTCTGTATGTGTGTGTCTCTATCTGTATGTGTGTCTTTGCCTGTGTGTCTCTCTCTGTGTGTGTCAGTGTTTGTCTATATCTGTGTATGACTGTGTTTCTATGTAACTGCATGTTTGTACCCATGTGTCTGGGTATGGGAGTATATGTGCATACATCTCAGAATTTCGTCTACATTACAAAAACACACCACCATATTCAAAAACCACACTACAAAAAAAATGCACGCCTGCATTCAAATGCAAATACGTGCAAATGTTTTTTACATCCCTGGTGTATATGATATCATCAAAACATATTAACAAATCAGTCTACATAAGTACAGAGAAACATTTAGTGAAGATAAAAATGTTAGTAAGACATGGTCGCTCTGGGTCTGGTGGTCAGAGGGTGCAAGTAAAGGTGAGTTCTCCAGCGGGTTTTCTTTAGTTCCTGTTACTTCAGCGCATTGATGCCTATGGGGAATCCTGCAAGACTACAGTATCCTCCATAGATAGAGCCAAGTTCCTGCAGCCATCACTAGTGATGGCTGGGGGGATTGACACTTCTAGACACGGGTTAACCCACTGTTAAAAAATGTCAAATGTAGGAAATATACAAATGGTCCCCATTTGTCTAGGTATAACTCTTGACTGGGTTGTAATTTCAGTGAAATTCCAACACCCTCAATATGAGTATTTCATAAAGATTCTATCTTTATGAAATACAATTTTTTTAGGTGGGGGTAAAATTGCTACTTTTACCCTTTTCTACCAAACAAACTTCAGAGAACATAGTGAAACTCTCAACCTTAAAGGTCCACTCCATGCCCCAAAAGCACCCCAGCTTGCTGAAGAGTCTTAACCTCAGTTTATAAAAGTGCTGATTTCGCTGAGAAATAAATTAACCAGGGAATTCCCCCCTGGCTGTTTGATTCCTTCCTACTTCCTTTGCTCCGTTAGCTCTACTTGAGCATGCCTGCCTCCCCCTCCCTCACATACCTCAGGCCAGCAACTTTGTTGAAAACTGTTGCGCGCGCACATGAGCAGACAGGGTTGCACGTGACCACCGAGTCAAAGGCTTCTCAATGAGAAGCCTCTGATTGGCTATTTTCCAATGAAGATACTGAAAGTCTCTTACGAAAAAAAAAAAAGAAAAAAAAAAAGTGGGCTTGCTAAGGCTGCAATCGTAAGTGCTGCGGCCTTTGCAAACTCTTTTGAGATATAAATACACAAAAATTCCTGCGCTCAAACTCCCACTACTCCTGGGTGGCAGCAAAGACCATAGTACACATCAGCCCTGTGACGAAGTGCCCTTCGCCACTTGGTCCTGGAGAGGCCTACTTGCCAGCCTCCTCCCCTGTGACTATGACTCTTTCATGTATCTGGCTTTAAAGCCCCTAGTCTACCTTCAGACAGACTATTTATGTAGGCTGCTTTATTTATCTTATGTTTTAGTCACCCTGTACCCATTATAGGTGCAGGGTGTGTGTAATGTAATTGTTTATAGTGTGTGTGTGTGTACTGTGTAATGTATTGCCTGCTCTCTTGTATTGCTGAGGTTTGCTACCAACTAGGTGGGTTTGGCTATGGAGCTGGTCTAGTGCCCTCTGTTGGTAGCAACAGCAATATGCACTACCTGAATTGCAAGACTGGTTCATTTGCATATTCGGGTAGATTTGCATATTGCTAATTCTGCAGGCAGGTGAGATATTTACTGTTAAATATTGTCTCCCCCCACCCCTTTAAAAATGTGCCATTGTGTTGTGATAAGTCACTGTGTGTTGCTTGATATGGTTTGACTGTTTGTGATTTTATTGAGGTTTCACAACAATGTTATTGTGGTGAACCTATTGGCTGGTCCCAAGGGAAATAAAGGTTTTGACAGTTCTTCTTGATCCCTCTAAACGTAGCCTTGTCTCGTTATTGGAGGGAGCTGTTATGATCACACTGGGGATTGCTATGCTCTGCATGCTCCCCTGAGCTTGAGTCACTTAGCTCTTTTAAGAGCTTGTTCCTGACACGCTCTCCTTGGAGGAGGGGTCTTCACCACACAGTCCTGGATGCTGGAGGTTCATACAGGGTGGAAGGAAGAGTTCTTTCCCACACAGTCCTGGAGGACAGAAGCTGATCCAGGGTGGAAGGAAGACGGCGAGACTCCAGTCAAGATACAGCGGTTGCGGAGTCTGCGGTGGTTGTGGTGTCTGCTGCAGTGCTTGGAGTCCTCAGGAAGCGCTAGGAGCATCCGTCAACGGAGGGTACTCAGTCGGAGTACAAGGAGCTCCGTTACAAGCCCCAATACATACAATAAAAAAACAAAGAAAAAAAGTTACCTGCGCACTTTCGAAATTGTAGATTATGCTAGCTTTAGAGTACCTATAATCTTAATTTTATTAATGACAGGAGGCAAGTATTTGCTTAAGTTTCTCTTTACTAGAACTCCACATCAGCATAGAAAAAACAACCAATCAGAGAAAAGTTAAGAACTATAAAACTCCCCTTCCCATACATCATTTCCTCTTTCAAGCTGCGACAAACAGAACAAAAGACAGAAAAAAATAATGGGGAAGAAACGAAGTCCTAGATACAATGAATACAACAATGTCCACCATCGGGAAGAACTGCCAAACCAGATAACGTTGATGGACTGTAAACAGGTTGGTTAGCCAATGAAATGTACTCTGAACAAACATGTAGATACCCAATGTAGCAACCAAAATTACCTTAATATGTAGATATCCCAACCCTACTTATGAAAACAGACAAGAACAAGTGACAGGTAGCAGAGACAACAAGCAGAGTTGCATACGTACCTGATGAACCCAAACTATTAAAATTAAACAAGGGAGGGATAAGAATGGGTGGGAAATACTCACCTCCTGTCATTAATAAAATTAAGATTATAGGTACACTAATGCTAGCATAATCTGCAATTTTATAACATGACAGGAGGCTTCATATTTGCTGTTTTAACTCTCAGTCAACAAATCCAACGCTGTTTTTTTTTG